CCACTTGTTACTTAGATTTTTTTGAGGTATAATACTACCACTGTTTTGAGACTTCCGTTTCCGGCGCTTTCGTGAGTGACACGTGTGTGAGTGACTGGAAGAAAATCGGAGAAAAAGGAGTGTGAGAGGGTGTGTGAGAAGGCAGTGAGTGGGTGTGAGAGAGAAGCAGAGGAGTGAGAAAGAGTGTGGGAGTGGGCGCAGGTCAAAGAGAAAGGATAGGGTTAGATACGGGGAAGGAAAAGTGACGGTAGAACAACGGGCAGATAGGTAGGCATAGAATAAAACAGAGGAGAGGGGCAGAGCGTATAGACGGGGACGTCACGAAGTCGCGCTGTCGCGGCGACACGCGTGGGGGCATAGGCAGGTTCGAACATAGAAAGGAAACTCATAGAGAAATAGAAGAGCAGGGTAGATAGGTATAGCTGAAAGAAAATGGCGGAGGATGAAGGAAAAGCGGTAAGATTGATAGAATTAATTGGGGAAGATCAGGAGAAGGGAAAAGGGGAGAGAACAGGAAGTACAAGCAGTATAAAATCAAAGAGAAAGAGAGGGGAAACAGAAGGCGGGGAATCCAAAAAACGGGCCTTTAACAGGAGTAAGAAGGTGCAGAGATCACCGAAGAAAATAGATGATAAACTACAGAAGATGAAAAAAGCTGGATAGAGGAGATAAAAAAGGAAGTAAAAACCGAGATGAGAAAAGGGATAAAGGAGATGCTGAAGATAATGAAGGAGCAAAAGAGAGAGATAAGACAAGAGATGGAAGATTTAAAAAAAATCATGGAAGAGAGAGAAGAAAAATGAATGAAAGAGAGAGAGAAGATAGAGAAGAGAATAATGGAAATGGAGAAGACGATAACGAAAATGAAAGAGAAGGGAATAGGGAAAGAAGAAGACGCAGGGGAGAAGGGATTAGAGAGAAAACTAAAAGAAATAGATAAGAAATTAGAGATGAGAGAAAAAGAAAAAGAAAAAAAAACATAGTTATAAGAGGAACAAAAAAAAAGAGAAACGATATAGAAAAAGAGGTGAAAGAAATTTTAATGGGGATTGGAATAGAGACGGAAGTGAGTTGCAAAAAGGTCATAGAGGACAACAGAGAGAGAGGTATAAGGATGGCAATAATAGGCCTGCAGGGACTGGAACAAAAAAGAAAGGTCATGATGGAGAAAAGAAGACTAAGAGAGAAAGGCATAGGAATAGATGATGACCTGACATGGGAGGAGAGAAAGATGAGATGGAATATAGAAGACATTGCAAGGCAGGAGAGAGGAAATGGTAAAAGAGTAAAGGTAGGATATGGAAAGATACAATTAGAAGGAAAATGGTGGAAATGGGAAGAGGATGAAGAGATATTAAGAGATAACGAAGGAAATGTGTGGAAGGAAAAAAGGGAAAACTAAGAGAGGAAGAAGATGGAGGTAATATGGAAGAGGGAGATGAGAAGGACAAAGAAGGTGAAAAAGAGAATAAGGAAGAGAACTTAGGAGGAAGAGAGGGAGAGGAGGATACCGAAAATGGAGAGAGAGAGAAAAGGAAATTCAGGAGGGAGGAGGAAATGTGGAAGGTGGCTTTCTGGAATGTGGCGGGCATAGCAAACAAGGATAAGGAATTCTGGGAAGCGGTAAAGGAATGGGATGTAGTGATAATGATGGAGACATGGTTATATGAGAGGGGGTGGGAAAAGATGAAAGAAAAGATCCCAAGAGAATACAAATGGAGAGTACAGATAGCGACCAGGAAGAACAAGAAAGGAAGAGCGAGTTGGGGTATGCTGTTAGGAATACGGAAGAGAATAGAAGAGATAAAGGAAGAAAGAAAGTTGGAGGAAGAGGAAAGTAAGATCGAATGTAAGATAAGGATAGGAGAGGAAATATGGAGAATAATAGGGCTTTATGTAAATAATGATATAGACAGGAAACTAGAAGGCCTGAAGGATAAGACGGAAGAGGAAGAAAAGAGAGTAAGGACTATAATAGGTGGGGATTTCAATGCGAGAACGGGGGAGGAAAGAGGTTGGGAAGAGGAGGACGAGGAAAGAGTGGAAGGTGGAGGGAGAAGATCAAAAGACAAGAAAATAAATAGGGACGGAAGAAAGCTATTGGAATTCATAGAGGAAAGAGGTTGGATGATACTAAATGAAGGCGTGAAGGGAGATGAGGAGGGTGAATTTACGTACACAGGAGGGAGAGGCGAGACAGTTATAGACTACGTGATAGGGGAGGAGGAGGTTAGAGAAAAGGTGGAAAGATTGGAGGTAGAAGAAAGAGTGATTCCAGGAGAGAAGGATTCCAGGATACTTAGAGAAAAACTGGAAGGAAGAAAGGTGGAGTAGGGTCGCGAGGTTCAGACTCGGTAATGAAATTAGAGGAGGACTGTATTGGGAAAAAGAGGAGAATAGAAGGTGCAGGATATGCGAGAGGGAGGAGGAAACATGGGAACACATATGGGAGGAATGTTCGAGATGGGAGAGATGGCATGAAGAGAAGTGGCAGGATGTGGTGGAGAATTTACTAGGAGAGGGGGGAGAGGGAGAGGAATGGATGAAAGCGATAAAGAAAATGCGACAAGAGGGAGGGAGGAGAAGGGAAGTGATGGATGAGAGAGCAGTGTGATTGAGACGTATGAAAGAAAAATATGAAAGGAAGGAAGCAAAGGGAACGGAAGTCCAACTTTAGAAATAAGTTAGAATTAAGTTAGGTATAAGATATAGATATAAGAGCGATTAAGCGAGAAGCGATTGAGGCGCAGGAGAGCGAGCGAGAGAGCGGGAGAGCGAGAGAGAGAGGACAGGCAGGGATAGGAAGCGCAAACAATTGTAAAGGTTTGGGTACGTTCCTGAAAAACGTCAATGGTTTGTGAGAAAAGAAAGAAGAGTAAGAGCTTGTAAAGGTTTGGGTACGTTCCTTAAAAACGCCTTTTAAGGCCCGTTAGGGGCAAATAAAGTACTTTCATACTACTACTACTACTACTACCACTGTTTTTTTTTTTCGAGGTAACAATATATACACTACTACTAATGCGTGTACTTGGGGCGCCTTTCTTTACCTTTTTTTTAAAAAAGGTAATTTTGTACGGATATCACGTCTTTTTGTAGTGTTACGCATCTTAATCTTAACAGAAAAAAATTACACCTTATAAAGAAATGTGTCTGAAATTGTTAATATATATAATATATACATTGCCGGACATTGCTTTTATGTAAAATATGCATCTATATTATGTTGCTTGTGAAAATTATTTCTTATCAACTTTTTCCAAAAATAATAAATTGTGAAACATTTTAAGACTAAAACCAATTCGCTATCTGTATTTTAACTGGTATTTTACTCTTGTACGTATGGGATACTCACGTTCGAGTTGGCCAAAGGCCGTGTTTTTATTTTTCCGCTACGTGCCCTACGAGCGGAAATATTGCGACGCAAAGTTGAAATGTGAAAATATTATATTGAGATATTTCTACTAACGTCGACGTCTCCCAATATATGACATATATATGTCAAAGAAATGTAACTTTTACTTTTTCGACACTGGTCGATAGACTTATCGGTCAAAAAGAAGATTTCTATTTAGGTAAATTAGAAAATAATATTAACAGGTCGCTTATCGCAATTTTTTATTTTTTGTTTAGTAAGATAGAAAAAAATTTATAACTATCTAACAAACAGTAATACAGCATTGCTCTACATAGATTTTTGTAGTAAATTTACCGCTCTACAAAAAATATTTTTTATCATTTTTTCATAAATTCAACCGTTCAAAAGATATTCAAAGTTAAAGTTTGATAAATATAAAACTTGTTTTTGTTTTTTATGAATTTTGTATTATATCGACTATCAAAAATTATGAAATAATCAATACATATTTTTGTAGAATATTTAATCTACAAAAAGGTCTTATATTTTTTTCATAAATAAAACCATTTAGACGATATTAAGGTTTAAAGTTCAACGTGTATAAAAATTACTTTTTTTTTATATTAAATAAATAAAGCTCAGAATTTTGTTATAATATGAAAAAAAAGAATAATTTTTATACACTGAACTTTAAACTTTAAACCTTAATATCGTCTAAATAATTATATTTATGAAAAAAATATAAGAGACCTTTTTTGTATATCGTTAAATTTTCTACAAAAATATGTATTGATTATTTCATAATTTTTGATAGTCAATATTATAAAATTTATCAAATTTTAACTTTGAATATCTTTTGAACGGTTGAATTTATGAAAAAATGATAAGAAATTTTTTTTATAAAATGATAAATTTACTACAAAAATCTATGTGAAGCAATGCTGTATTACTGTTTGTTAGATAGTTATAAAATTTTTTCTATCTTACTAAATGAAAAATAAAAAAACGCGATAAGCGACCTGTTAATATTAATTAATATTAAGGGCTCAAACTTTAACAGGTATCTTATTTTACTCTTTTGCAAGTATATATGCTATTCGTAAAATAAAAAAAAGGCATAGTTCTTTTAAGAAAAAATATGTAACATCAACAATGTATAATCAACGGACATTATATATATTTCAATTTTTATTTATTGTATTATAATTATTAATAAAATTTTATAATTTCCTTCATTCACGGTCGTACTTATTCGTATCCTGCGCCGTGACATGTCATAAGTACGTTCCGAGCTCATGTGTACCAATGGGCCTGCTTAGTCTGCCTAATTCTCTATTAACATTTTTTGTCATATTTTGTAAAGGTTTATCTATGGTAATTTCATAAAGGAATCATTCCGCCGCACATGATAAAAATTGGAATACATTATACGTAGAGTTTAAAAATGTAAAGATTTTTTGCATAAATACATTGTCATATTTATATTTAACAGACTGTTAAACCTACATATAATTTTCTGCAAAAACTAATGATGTTACAATCACGCCAATATTTGTTTTACTGCCCTAAAAAATAAACAAAGTTATATATATATTGCATAAATATACATTTCAAACATAAAGAAACAAGTAAGAATTAAAATAACAATTTTAGCCGAATAAATATATTACGACTTCTCTCTACAACTAATTTTGCATGTGAATATCTTAATGGGGACAAAAAAATAATTTGAAAATGTTCTTTATCAATTCTTTTACAAACTGTGGAGAGAGTATTACAAGATACATGTGGTGCAACAATAAAAGTAAAGTTTTATGGAAATGCACCTATCGGATTTTACAAATACAAATATCCTAAGAAGCTTTGCAAGCAAGGAAGTTATGGTGCTAAAATATTTTATTTCTTAGCCAAACATATGGATGGAGATATCAACAATAACGTAAAATACTAGTGGTTGGATCATGAAGAATTAGAAAAAGTATTACCTACTGGAGTACAACAGTACTGGAGTATTTCACATTTTATGTTTACGTAAAGAATAATAATAATAATATAAAATATTGAACTCATTCTTTGATCTCTTATTATTAATATTGTCTATTATTACCGTAATATTAACATTATAATTAGAGAAATAATTAAAATAATTGCAAATACAAAATAATAAAATAACGGACAACGAGAGGATCAAACCTTCTTGAATTAGCGGTTTGTCCATCTTCGTTTTCTACGCCTAGTGCCTTTGGAAGCGGAGCAGCTCCTCCGGTCATTAAAACTAAGAACCTTTTTTTTTCTTTTGCACTATTCGGAAAATCGACAACCACACCGCCATAAAAGCCAGCTTTTGTGGCTTGTGCCGTGATTAATTCAACCTGTTCACCGTTCTCTGGATAGAATTGTAACACTGCTCTTACGCTTCTTGACAGGCATGCATACAACGTTGAGAAAAAACGATATAAATGTTTTGTAGGATTGTGCGAAGTTTTGCTTGCATAGCACAATTACTGAAGCGCAGAAATACTGACAACCCCATCAAACGTACCAGCTTTAAATGGCAATCCTTGACCTATATCTCCCAAAATTAAGTCACCATCTAATTCTCTTTCATCACAGCTACGTCTAAAAATAATGTAATGTGTTAATATGATTATATATCATCTTTCACGCACATTTTTACAGACAGCGTTACTAGCAGCGTGCACAACTTCATTTGAGGTTATAATTGGGTACAACATTCATCGTACGATACTGTTATACGTGCAAATCGGAAACGTACCTCGAGTCCAGCTCTTCTGCCATCAACGAAGTCGGGATCGAACGTGTCAGTCGTCACTTTCTGCCAAGCGTAGAGAACCTTCTGTTCCGGCAGCGGTGCAATGGTAACACGATGTAGGGATACAAAATCTCCAGATAAGAGCACGAAGCAATTCAAATTCAGTATATCGCCGGCACGATTATACGGTGTTACTGCCGTTTTGCGTACGCGCGTGCGGCTCGTGCAAACGTTATTAACGCGCGGCCGCAATCGCGCAGCAGAAACGCCTCGTGTGAACAGGCTCCTTGATCTCAGTATCCTCAGCTTCCTGCCGTCAATATAAAAATAAAAAATAATCTAATAGGTTATTAACCTGTATGTATAAACACTCACGTAAACGTAGTAAACAGTAAATAGGTTATTAAACTGTATGTATAAACACTCACGTAAACATAATAATAAACAGTAAATAAAATAAGTATAATAGTAATTAATCGTTGCGTCGCGTAAAGAGTCACGGTCGGTCTCGCTCCGCGCGTACTTCGTAGTCTTCGTACTTACCGTGTCTCTCGAGTGCTCTCGAGATAAGGTTAACTGATGAATAGGAACTGACTGACAGCGCGCTAAACGAACGCACTGTCTACACTGCACTGCACTGCGATACTAACGCCGCTAGCCGCCAGTGTCGAAAAAGTGAAAGTGACGTTTCTGATTATGACGTCATCATATAAGACGTCGGCGTTAGAAGTAGTATCTTAAAAATAAATTTTCACATTTGGACTTTGCGTCGCAATATCTCCGCTCGTAGGGCACGTAGCGGAATATTATGAGAGAAACCCCCCCCCTCATTGGATCCCAAGCTATCGATCAAGCCTACTTAGAACTTGATCCATTCACTCGTTATCGAGATCTCAACATCTCGAGTACTCGCAACCCGTCGCGTCGCGTAAAAGAGTCACGGTCGGTCTCGCTCCGCGTGTACTTGGCGCGAGACACTACTGTGTCTTTTGAACTGTAATTAATATTTAAATTTACATTTAAATAAATGTAAATATAATATTTAAATTTACATTTAAATAAATGTAAATATAATATTTAATTTATATTAGGTTTACATCTTTTTTAAACTTACGTTCTTCAACATTAATTTTATTTTCCTGATGAAATTCTTTATCCATCTTCCGTTTTCGTTATTGACGTTTACTTAATATATGAATTTAGCGA